GTAGGTGAATCCCTCGGTAAGGGATGTAGGAAGATGACTGAAGGCGGTATGGCATCGGCTAGGTGGTAGGTCAAGATGGGAAAGGTCGGTGGTTGTTTGGGTAAGTTGTGATGGTGTTTGGTTGGTTGTAGGTACGTAGGACGACAAGTTTATGGGAGAAGTAGGAGTGGCGGTAGAGTGGTGGAGGCGTATAGTGGTGGTAGGCAGCTTGGAGAGAGGTAGGAAAAGTGGTTGGTGAGAAGAAGCGAAGGAGATTGTGAGTTTACAATACAACCTCGGAGCAAGATACAGCCGAAACACCACTTGTCTTCGGATATAACCCTAACAAGAAGGAAGAGACTCCACAGTGGAGTAGAATACAACTCTACTAGAACTCTCTTACACACATGGGACAACTATTTATAGTCTCCTACTTCTATACAAAAGGAAGGGGAATGGGAAGATAAGAATAATCCAAAAGAAAACGGGTGTGGAAGATACGTGAATCAGCTCCTGGATCGCGAGGGTTCACAATCCGATTCCTTCTCCTTCGTGCGGGATCGCGATCCCATCCTGCACCACTGTTCCGCAAAGCTTCACGGGTCCTCTGTCCAGTGGGATCGAAACGTCCTGAAGCCTTGGGGCGCATTTAGCGCCTGCATCAAGATACCTCTTAAAGAAATAATATTTAATAAAAAAGATTTAATCGTACGCATTGGTAAAGTGAGAAGATTTTAGAAGTATTCATGGTGATTATGATTGTGGAGTGACTAATAAACAATATAGAGTCATGAATTTTAGTTTAGCTTATTATTTTATTATTTCTAGTATTTTATTTAAAAAAAGAGATGAATATATTATCACTTATAAAAATGAATCTAATAAAACCATAAATTGATTATTTTTTAATTGATTATTTTTTTCTTTTTAAGAAAAATAGATCATCAAGATTGTAAAGATTATAATGTCATTCCAAGTGAAATTATAACTACCTAACATTGATTATTGGTTTTGGATTTTAAGATGAAGGGTTTGATGATGAAAAACACAATAAAATATTATCATAGAATTAGATGGAGACACTTAAAAGATAAATAAAATTATTTTTATGAGTATACTTCAAGTTCTTAAGATTTAAGATGTTCATAAAGAAGTTAATACTATGCAGAATAAAGTAACAAGTAGTATTAAATAAGTTGTAAAAGAAGTGCTTGAGGAATAAAATGAAAAAAAAAATTATGAATTAAAATAGTTGATGTAATAATAATTTATAAGACAAGATAAAAAATAAAAAGTTTTGTTATAAAAATTGATTTAAATGTAAAATTTTGGATAATTGGGAAAATATAGGGTGACTCATAGGGAGTCTAAGGGAATAGTTTTTTATGCTAAAAATTTTACTTTTAGTAATCTTTATAACATATCAAATTTTAAAGATGGTGAAAGATATCTCGGTTCTATTGTTCAAAGTATTATTAAAAGGATTGAACGTTTTAGATATCTTAGTTCTATTGTTCAAAGTGTTGGTGATATAGATGAAGATGTTATTAGTAGATTTCAAGTTGGATGGTTGAAATGGAGGAATGCTTCGAGCTTCTTGTGTGATAGAAAAACACCGCGTAGACTTAAAGGAAAGTTTTATAAGATAGTGGTGAGACCTGTAATGTTTTATGGCACAAGATGTTGGCTTGTAAAAAAGATGCATAAAATTAAGTGTTACTAAGATGAGAATGCTCAGACGAATGAGTAGCTTTATACTTAGAGACAAAATGCGAATTGAATATATCCATGGATGAGTTAGAGTAGCTCCAGTGACTGACATTGTTAGAGAGAGCTGCCTTAGTTGGTTTGGTCACATTAAATTTCAACAATCTAATGACCCAGTTAGGAGAGTAGATATTTTAGATTTGAGCATGTTGTATAGAAAATATCTTATTTTATTAGAATTAAATGAAAATATGGCACTCAATAGGACACAATGGAGAAAAATGATTTATGATTTGAGCATGTTGTATAAAAATATCTTATGTTATTAGAATTAAATGAAAATATGGGACTCAATAGGACACAATGGAGAAAAATGATTTATGTAGCTAAGCCCACTAGGCAGGCTAAAGGCTTGGTGTTGCTGTTGTTTTTATATGTTAAGATGATTTAAAAGTTCGATCTTGAAGTCTGGATTTTAGCAAGTCTGTATGCATCCAAACTCCATAGAATAGGTTGCATTCCCATGCCCAAAATGTCATTTAGAATGGCTTGTTATGTCATGTGGGCTAAAGAATGCTCCTCAAATATTCTAAAGAAAAATAGATAATATTTTTAGAAAATCTCAGAATATACATGTGTCTGAATTGATAATTCTCATCTTTTCTCATACTAAGAAAGAACATTTATCTCATATATATACAATTTTCACTTAATTTGTGGCTCAATGATTGATTATTTTAAAATAGAAAATGGTTTTATGCTCTCAGCATTGAAATTTTTTTTTGGGGGCTGAAATAGGCAACGGAAAAATAAAACTGCAATTTCATATTTCAAAAAAGATTTTGGAAGTATCTAACAAACTAGAAGGCTTGAAATTATTAAGATTATTAAATTATGTCAGAGCTTTCATCAATAATCTATCAAGATCTACAAAACCACCTTATGACAACTTATTTGAAGGACACTTGAATGTTTACTAAGAATATATTTTATTAGTGCAACAGATTAAAAAGATGGTTTCCCGGTTAACAAAATTAAGTCTTCTTTTAGATTACGATTTGTTGATAATTAAATCTGATGGTTGTGAAAAAGGATGTGAAAGCAACTCTTATCAGAAAACCCAAATAATTTGTTAGAAAGAGAGAAGAAATAATTAGCAGATATGTCTTTGAGTTATACAAAGAAAAAAATCTTATGTGATAAAAATGAAGTTTTCATTATAACAGATTGTGAGGCTAAAGAAGTTAAAAGTACTTTTGAGTTTCAGAAGATGGCTAAAAATTTTTCGATTATATTACGAATAAAGGGCTATTAATAAGTTGGGAAAATATGGAAGGAAGAGATAATTATCTTGCAGAACAACTATTCAGACAATTTGCTTTAAAAAATTATTTGATTTTTATTGCAGATTGTACTAATCAATTTTTTGACTTGATGAATATCTCTAAAAACTTTACTCAAAATAAGACGCCAATTTGGAGATTTCCAATTACCACATTTTTATGAACCCCACACTTATAGATTTAGCCAAAGAAAAAACTTGAATGAAGTCCAACAATGCTTGATTGATAATAGTTGAAATTTGTCTACCGATTTTTATTCTCGGGGTAAAAGAAGACTTATCTTGGGAGCATTAACCAACTAGTTATTTACTACTACAATAAAAACCATTGGGTAAGAAGTTCCTATGCTATATTATTTTCTCATTACCAAAACCCGGAATACATGCCACTTTGCCTGAAGCAAAGCAGCGAATCGATCTCTGTAAAGAAAAGCCCTCTTGGAAAGACTTTCAATTTTCAAGATGCCTGTGAAGAGATCCGAAGAAAAATTGGACCCAATTTTTGTCTGTCTATCACTTGCAACATATCAAGGATTTAAAGTATTAAGAGAAATAGAGGCCCAAGATTTTAAGAAAAGTCCAATGCAGACTTTTGAAGTTTATGAACAGTTCAAGGAAGATTGCCATGAGATGGATGTAAAAATAACAAAAGGCTGCTGTCCTTAGATTAGATTGGTATTGGAATCATCACTTTGATTTCTTTGGTTATGTTTTGGTTGGTGGGACGAGAACTGAAAATTTTCTTATGGATCATAATTACAAAAAATGAAAAACTAATGAAGGTGTACAAAAAGCAGAAATTGAATATAGAATTTCTTAGAGGTTTTTCTGCAAAAAAATCTAGCATTATCTAGAAACTTGAGAACGAATGTTTTAAAGTTGATGTAGATGCAAGTGGTGGACCCTAACACTAACGAAATATTTTTCTGAAGGATACTAAGTGATTGAAAGGAATATTTTCCTCTTTTAGTAAATAAAAGGAGTGGTTAAAATGTTTATTATTTCTTATTTTATTGATTAAGTTTGTAATGTTATTGGATTCCATGAGTTATGTTAAACTCTATAAATAGAGCTTATGTTTATAAAGTGTGTGTGTGTGTAGGAAAGATGGTCAAAAAGAGTTTGTAAATGTGAGAGTTGTAAGATATATTCAGGTTATTGAAGTTTCTAGCTTTCGTATGCAAGTCTGTTATTTATCTTGTTAATGATTGGAACACTTCTTGTTTCTTTCAAAATTTTTTGTTTTAGATTCTCTTGTTTCAATCTACCAACAACCTTGTTCAGTCAAATGCTCTTTTAAGAGTATCTGTTTAAAGGAATAAAGTCGTTCTAGTGAAATTTAGCGTCAACTGTTTGGTTGAGGTGTTACAAAATATTGAACTAGATAATCTGTTTATTCAAATTCGATTTTGACAAATAAAAAAATAAAAAAAAACAAACAATTTTGAGAGCCATCTTGATAAAAAATTAAACTAAGATATCTTGAGCAGTTTCTCCTTAGACGCAAAACTAAGAAATGTAAGCTATTTATTGTAACTAAACAATAGTTTTTGCCAGTTAAATTACTATTGCGATGACTTTCGAGAATTCTCCATCTTAGTATATGAGATGTTAGTCATATTGTACAATTTCTTTTTGCATAATAAAAATATAAAAAATTCCTACGATATGGAAGTAAAAAACTCATCTTTTTATCTACTATATTTTTTTCCTGATCTTATCACTAGCTTTCTTCTTGTTAACTATTCTTGTCTTTGCCGTGCAATTGTGCTCTGCTAGTTTAAATTTCAACTGGTCCTATGGTTTTGCCACAACCAGAGCCACAAGTTTTATTCAACTTTCTGTTTGATTTTACTTATTTTTAATTCTATTTGGACAAAAACAGCTGATTTGATTATGAAGATCATGTTCCACTGTTGGTGAGCACTAAGCAGAAATCAGTGATGATATTTTTTTTTCTGAATTTCTACAGAGAATCCAAATCCAGAAGTGAAGATCCAGAGTATCACAATCATCACTCCCAATAGACCGGACTTGGTTCTATCAATTCCCTTCATCCCCAACGCAAAGGGCTATGCATTTACTCTCAAAGACAGCAGTCGCTACCGTCTCAAGTTCTCCTTCACTGTCTCAAATAACATTGTATCAGGACTCCGGTACACAAACACTGTGTGGAAGACTGGAGTGAGAGGTAGATGAAGAAAGTGTGAAACCCTTTATGTAAAATGAAGCCAAACTCTTAAACATCGAGGTGCCTTTTGGTGTAACATTTGGAATTTCATTAAAAATTCAAAATTAAGAGCACCCACTCTTCTGGGGTGAGTGACTTGGGAAGTTTACACCAGTGGGACAAAACGCGAGGTCGTTAGGCTAAAGTGGACAATATCTCGATGGATGAGAGTTTTGGCTGTTAGAAATGATATTAGAGCATCACATCTTCTAAAGAAAGGAATATCTGTCTGGTGGATGATTATGAGTTAAGAAAACTGATGAGGATATTAGTTACTTAAATGGGTGGGATTGTGAACTGAACTTTTAAACTTTCAGGTGCATTTTGGTGTAACAGTTGGAATTTCATTAGAAACTCCAAAGTTAAGTATGCTCATGTTGGAGCACTCCTGGGATGGGTGACCTCCTGAAAAGTTATACCATTGGGCAAAACCGTTAGGTCATTGGGCCAAAGCGGACAATATTTTGATGAATGAGAGTTCGGGCTATTACAAAACGATAAGAGAATAATATATTGAGTCCATTGCATTCTTTCAAGTAAACTGTTATCTCAGCTCAAGTTGGATCAGTTTGTCACTTAATTTGTGGCTTGCTTGATACTGTGCAGTTGAGAACACAAAGGTGATGCTGGGAACTTTTAGCCCTCAGAAAGAGCCATACACCTATGAGCTTGAAGAGGAGACCACCCCTTCTGGAATATTTGCGAGAGGTTCCTATTCTGCTAAAACAAAGGTAAACAGATTTCAATTTTTGAGGTTCTTTTGTTTCTTATATTAAAATCTTATGAGGATCTCTTTATCAATTGTTTCAGTTTGTGGATGATGATGGAAAATGTCATTTGGAGATGAGCTATTACTTCGAGATTAAAAAAGATTGGTCATAGGCTTCCTGAGCATGCCTAGAAACCAAGCTATGTTAGAGATTTCATATTTGTTTTTCAATACTGCAATCCATCCATGAATTGCTTGTTTCAAGATTTTATCATTTATTTTAGAATTTTGAGTTAATTCTTCTCTGTTATCGACGTCGTTATGTAAAGATTATTTCTTTTTGTTTTAGAAAGGGAGTTTATGTAACCCTGAAGCTCCTCATGTTATGAAGGGCGTTGCTAATTATATTTCTTTCAATTCTTTGTTTACCCCAACTTTGTAAATGTTTTTAAGAATTAACTGTATTGTTGAACGTACTCACCTTCTGAAAAAATGAATTCAGATGTTGTAAGCTGCTCAATAATGCTGAAGAACTGGTGAAGAATCAATATCCTATTAGAACTTTTTTAAGTTATTACGAAGAGAAATGTTATAATGAGTGACAAAGATTGTTCTTCATCCAAAGCTATGTCCACCAGAGAGGATTAGAATGTATTTATTTGAAGGCAAAGTACATCAACACACATGACAAAGAATACAACTTTAAAATAACAATTTACATTAAAGCTAATGTTTGTCTGATGCAAAATAATGGTGAAAAGGTGGAGGACATAAACCGTTCTTAGTATGAAAGCTTGAAATAATGACTCCAACGATACTTTTATTGAGGATATAACAAGTTCTGCAAATGAGGAAAGCTACCAAGCCATACCTAAGAATATAATTATTCAAAGCAAATCATTTCATTCTATTTTATTTTAAGGAGTAAGTCAGTACTTATAGGCATTGCAATTCAAAAGAGAAGGGGTTGGCCTCCATCACTTCATAAGAAAACTTAAACTAGAATCCTTCTTGGCCGAGCCACCGGGTATTAACAATGGAGATCGTGCTGTCATTTTGAGTACTTGCTTCATTATTCCTTATAAAAGCTCCCAAAGAGGCAAATATATATTGGCAAATGTTTTTTGCACTTCCCTTGATCAAAATAACATGCATGAAAGTTTGAAGATGGTTGTCATTTAGCTTTCTTTTAATCTCTCAAAAATGTATGGCTGGTCATCCCATATTATGGTGATTTTTGTATTTGACAATGCAAAAGTCTTTCTACCCTAAGCCAAAATTTCATGCCAAGCATCAAATAAATGTAATGATGATAATATTAAGCTCAAATTATGATGACTTTCGGAGCACACACCTATATAGAGACATACAAGGTGAGTGTGATAGTAAGAAAATATTGAGGTGAAGATTTCTAATTAACAAGATAGAAAAAATGTGATCTTTAATCTATTTATTGTTAATGATAGCGCTTTCAAGTCTTATTATTTTTCTTTAATAGCACTTACCCTTATGTGGAGAATATATGCTTTTGAAATGATATCAACTCCTATTTTTCACTCAATGTATGAGAGACAATTACCTTGGACAAGGCTACATCTTTGAAGTGACGACCTATTTCAAATTATTTGGTTCATTCATTAATGTATGATTGTTTATAATATAGAAATTTGTTTGATTATCATAGTTAAAGGATTATGTGTTGTGATAGGAAAGTCAATTTCTTCTCCAAGAACTTGGGTCCATAACATTTTGCAAGCGGAATGAATATAGCTACAAATGTTAGCTTCTTATTTTTCTAAGAAATGATATTTCCACAAACAACAAAATCATGAAACATATTTTCAAGTTTCAAGAAATCCAACATGATTAGTTCCAATGAAGGCTTCAATCTTCGAGTGATTATGTATTTCTATTCAAACTTAAAAAGAAATGCATTACTGATAGAAATTAGATAAATAATTTGATCATTATGAATAACTACTGGAATGATTTAAGCGTTAAAAAATGAATTTGAATGTGAAGAAATTTGAATTGAGAGACTGCCTGAAAATGGGCGAGGCACTGCTATTGCTTATAAATTGGTATGATTGCTGGTGAAGGATAGCGAAAATTAATCAGTAAATATTTTTTATGCATTTTTAAGTAGCGGAGAAAATTCTTATCAATTAACAAAAATCAATCAAAATATTGTAGAAAATTCAAATTTTGGTGGATTTTGGCCATTATTTATAATTTTTTAATAAAAAAAAACATTCTTTTCATGCAATGTTTAACACACTTTGCAGAACATTTTTAGTTTTTACTTTGATTTCAAATAAAAATTAGGAAGATTTGCATAACACTTAATTCCTATGTATCTGCGTATGTAATACCTAAACTTTAATTTTTGCATATATGTCATCTTATATATGCATGAAAATGTGTATTTCACTTTTTTTAAAGTAAATATAATGGAGTTTTTTATGCGACCTAAAATATTTGAGTTGTTTAAATGTAAAAAAAATAAAATTTAGGCGTTAGCTATGTAGTGAATACATAGGAATTAGTTGGTATGTATGTAAATGCCCCTCAAAATTAATAGGTTCTTATGGTAGAGCTTTGTTGAGTACTAGAAAATTGACAACACTAGAGAAATCTTAAGCCTTAACTTAATATAAATTTTAATTACACACAAAAAATAATGTAAGACAACCAAAATTTTTACCCGAAAAAATCATGAGACTTAGCCTGGTCAAAGTAATCTACCAGAAAAATAAAGTATAAATGTTCTTCTTCTGAATTTGAGAATATAGGATTACGAAGTAGGTAATCACAAATGTATGATAATAGTTTGATTAAAAAAAAATTATAATTATGTTACAAAAATTGTAGTTGATTACTACAATAGCATTAGTTGGTTATAAAAACAATAGTTTGACTACAATAAGTATAGTGGGTGGCTACAAAAGTCGTACTTGGCTGCAACTATTGTTGGTGGTAATCGATAAGGGTTGGTTGTCAATGACGACCTTTCGTGGTTGACAGTGATCTCTGATGGCCAATGATGAATTCTAGTGGTTGACTGTGATGTCAAATGATCTGTGATAACCATTGAGATTTCAAGAGTTAAGTTTTAATAGTTAGCTCACTTTTTATTTCTCTTTCCCCCTTCAAATGAAGAAGGATGACCTATTTATTGTTTTCTATAGGAACATTTCAGTAAATTTAGTCAGGATCTCAAAATACTTCATCAAACGATTCACATTGATTATCTTGATCATAAGTCATTTTTTAATATTTAAGTTTATTAACAAACTCAAAATGAAATGAAATTGAGCTCGAGATTTCTCTCATCGAGCCACTCAATTTTTATATAACCAAGCCAAATTTTGAATTGTTTGGCCTTCCAATTAATGTACCAAAGCCTTTCACAACTCTTTAAGTGTTTGATCTAAGCTTATTTGGACTCGGATTAGATCACTTTCAACAAGAAGAATCATTTGAGCTATTGTTGTTATATATATATGGGAAGTTTTTATGTGATTTGAGTGTCAGTATTAATTTTATGCCATTGTCTATTTTTAAAAGATTAAGATTAAGAGAGGTGGCCCTTGCCATTGTAATCCTTCAACTTGTTGATCGATTTATCACTTATCCAAGGGGGTTATAGAGGATGATCCAGTGAAGGTGCAAAAACTTATCTTCTCTATTGATTTCATTATATTAGATATGGAGGAAGATAAGGAAATCCTCATCATACTAGGTGGAACTTTCCTAGCCACTAATCGTGTTATGATTCACGTGCAGAAGGGAGAGTTGACGATGAGAGCAAATGATCAGGATGTAACCTTCAATGTGTTAAAATCTATGAAATTCCCTTTTGCTTATGATGAAAATTAGTGTTGTAGGATGTATCTCATAGATCATCTGTCAAGTCTTCAATTTTGAGAGTGTTGTGAAGTTAAACCAAACGAGCAGATTTTCATCGAGGATGAAACAACGAAAATTAAGAAAGAATATGCTTTACTGGTTGAAGATAATCCAAGAATTTTTAAGGAGAGGTTTAAAATATTTGATACAATAGAAAATTGTTGTTCCTTCTATTGAGGATCCCTTGAACTTGAGTTGAAGGTGTTTCCTAAATATTTAAAGTATGCTTATTTGGGGAAGTCATCTACATTATCAATTATCATATCCTCAGATTTGACTGATTCACAAGATGAACAACTTTTGAATGTTCTGAGGAGTTTTAAGAAAGCGTTTGGATGGACCTTAACAGACATAAAGAAAATAAAAAACCCGGGGCAGATCCTCAAAGGAGATTAAACCCAATTATGAAAGAATTTGTAAGGAAGTATGCAAGTATTTATTAATGAGAATTTTTTATTAATGATTTTTCAATGTTTGGCCCTTCATTTGACTCTTGCTTGAATCATCTGACAAAAGTGCTAAGATGCTGTGAAGAGACCAACATTGTTCTCAATTGGGAGAAGTGTAAATTCATGGTATTTGAAGGAATTTTGTTAGGTCATAAAGTTTTTGAAAGAGGCATGTAAGTGGACCCAAAAAAATTCAAGTTATTGAAAAACTTCCCCTACCTACTACTGTGTGGGGGAGTTAAAAGCTTTTTGGGAGATGTTGGATTTTATAGATGATATATTAAATTTTTTTCTAAAATAGCCAAAGCACTATGTCGTCTTCTAAAAAAAGACATTATATTTAATTTTGACCATGAATACTTAAATGCTTTTAATACTTTGAAAGAAAGTTAGTCACGACTCCTATAATTGTCTCACCGGATTGGAGGAGACCATTTGAGTTAATGTGTAACGTGAGTGGCTGCGTTATTGGAGCAGTGTTATGACAAAGGTATGATAAGATGTTTAGAGCTATATACTATGCCAGTAAGACCCTTAATGAAGCTCAAATTAATTATAATACTATTTAGAAGGAGCTTTTAGCTATAGTATATGCATTTGATAAATTTAGACCCTAATTGATTGATATCAAATGTATTGTTCATACTGACCATTATGTTATTCGGTATCTAATGTCAAAAAAGGACACCAAACTAAGGTTGATTAGATGGGTTTTGTTACTACAAGAGTTTGATATCAAAATAGTAGATACAAAAGATACTAAGAAATATATAATGGATAACTTATCGAGACTGGATCAGGGGAATTCATGTGTTTATGAAGAGGGGATCAATGAGAATTTTCCTGATGAACAACTGTTTGCTATTATTGAATGACACATTCTGTAGTATGTTGGCATAGTAAATTACATAGTTAGTGATATTATACTCTATGGTATGAGATATCATCAATGAAAGAAATTCGTCCATGATGTCGGATATTACTTTTGTGTTGACCTCTACCTTTATAGAAAATGTAAAAATTAAGTGATGAGGGGATGTATACTCATAGAAGAAACAC